CCTTCATTAAAACTCTTCCATCCTTGCCTTTGATGGATCTAACACCATTAAGATCTCTGCTCTTCTTATCCCTCATCATAGCAATTTTAAATAGTTCATTTTCTCCAACTTTTGCCTCTAGTTTTCTATATAACTCCTCATGGATCTTACTCTTTGAGTCTTGAATAGCCTTCTTGCTTCTTGATTTGCTTTTTGCTGTCTTATACGCCCGATAACTCTCCTCATCCCTATTGTTCCACAAATTTTTATAACACTTTCGCTTAACTTTAATTGCCTTTTTCACATTCTTGTTCCACCTCCAAGATTCCTGTCCTAATAGTGCCTTACCCCTAGATTCCCCAAGTTTCTCTTTAGCACCCTTTTGAATTTGAGCTATAATATTTTCTCACATTACTTCTACATCCTCATTAGGCTTCCAATCAACTTCTTTTACTAGTCTATCCTTAAATGCTGCCATTTTGTCCCCCCTCAAGTTCCACCACTTAATACATGGTTCATGACTCTGATGTCTCTTCTTTGACCCCCTGAGGTGGAGTAGATCGAGTACTAGCAATCTATTTTGTGCGGCCACACTCCCATCAGATGTAATCTCGCAATCCTTGCAACTATTTCTATCCTTTTTCCTCATAAAAAAGAAATCAATTTGACTAGTATTTCATCCACTCCTAAATGTCACCAAGTGTGATTCCTTTTTCCTAAAACACATGTTTAATATCGGTAGGTCAAACGCAGTAGCAAACTCTAGGATAATCTCTCCAATTTCGTTTTTTTCTCCAAAGCCATATCCTCCTTGCCTACGTGACTATTCATGTATCTCCAATACACAATTTTTCTTTGTATGGTATGGCTTGTACTCTCTCGTCTAAATTTTCCCAAAATTTTTGGTTACTCTCTTGATTCAAACCTATTTGTGGAGCATAGCCACTAATGACGTTAATAGTTTCCTCTTATAAAATAAGTTTAACAAGTAAAATTCTATCTCCCTTTCTTTTAATCTCAACCACATCATCCTTCAAATTCTTATCAACAATTATCCCCACTCCATTTCTACTCCTTTCCTTCCCTGTGTACCAAAGCTTAGAGCCCCATGTTTCTATCTCTCTAGTCTTTTCCCCTACCCACTTAGTTTCTTGGAGACACATAATATTAATTCCTCTTCTAGCCATTGCATCTCCTATCTCTACAAGCTTACTAGTTAATGATCCTATATTCCAAATAGCTAAGTGGAACTTACCCTTAGGGACTCGCTTCTTTACTCGTGTTCATCCACCAAAACACGAGAACCCTTGCCTATTTGACACCGCATCTTGGAGGCGATGTGGCGCGTCGCTTCCGGGTGATGACTTAGCAATCCTTGCATATTTAACACAACATTTGGGCTCGGATGTAGCACGTTGCTAGGAGGTGACGACCCAACAAGGATTCTTGCTTTGGTCTTTCATCATGGTTTGACTATGTTTTACACTGGCTGTCAACCTATTGCAATCGTGCTCCTTTATCCGAGCTTGGGACCGGCAATGTGACAACGCATAGGCAGAGTTTCAGAATATAATCAATAAAATTAAAATTTCATGAAACTTTTAAACTAAGCTTAAGGTAAACTTGATTTACATTTAGCAAGAAGGCTAGCTATTTGTGATGCTTTATCCCTTTCCTTTAAGGTTAGCTTATATTTCTTAATTTTCTGAAATTTTTTGGTTGTCTGAGCAGCATCTGTTAAATTTAATTGTTGGCTTCTGTTTGTAGTTCTTCTGATATTGAAAAGTTTCTGTTTTTGTTCTCCTGGAATCACAATCAAAGCTACTTTATATGTACTATGAATCCATAAATTATAGATAATCATTGTTATTGTTTCCTTATTTTGTGTGTGTAGCTTTGTGTGTATGTGTAGGGGGGGTTTTGTTTGGGTTCAGGGCACTCATTGTTTGTCTGTTCTGTTCTTTGCATGCCACGATAACTGTCCTTATCATTCTTCAGGTCATTAAGTAATTGTTGTAATTCACTAAGATCTTTTGTTTTTTTATTTTTTATTTATTTTTTATCCAGGCTTATATGTTTAAATATGATTCAACTCATGGGGGCTTTAAGGGAACCATCAGAGTTGTGGATGAGTCCACCTTGGAAATTAACGGCAAGCAAATTCAGGTTGTAAGCCAAAGGTATTAATCTGGAGTGTTTGTATTGGAATTTGAGCTAGCTTATCTAAGATATGTTATTCTCATGAACAAAAATTCTGTTATTTGATTTCATTAAATATTTGCTAATAAACTATCACAACTTGGGTCAACATTTAAATAATATCCTCCAGGGACCCTGCAGAGATCCCTTGGGGTGATTATGGGGCTGAACTTGTTGTTGAGTCATCTGGTGTTTTCACAACATTAGCTAAGGCCTCTGCACATATGAAGGTTAGTTGTCTAAGTTTCCTGCTTTTCTGTATGATTGCACAAAAACAAACACATATCACAAGCACAACTGTGAATGCATGCACTTCGTAAAATGTTCCGAATTGAACATTCATGAATGTCTTTTGCAGGGTGGTGCCAAGAAAGTGGTAATTTCTGCTCCTTCAGCTGATGCACCTATGTTTGTGGTGGGAGTAAATGAGAAGACCTACAAGCCAAGGATGGACATAGTTTCTAATGCTAGTTGCACTACCAATTGTCTTGCTCCTCTTGCCAAGGTTTAATTGCATCCTCAGATTTTAAGCTTTATTAGTCTTATCTGTACAAGTGGTATTTAAACTAAAATAATTTTTCCCATTGTTTTCTATTATGGGTTACTGGTCACCGGGTAGGAGTTAAACATGGGGAATTGTGTTTACTTTGTAAGGTTTTGCTTTTGTATGCTTTGAGTTTATGGCAGTTGACAATTCCATTTGCCTGTATTCGACACTATTGATTATCTGGCACCCATAAAGCATTTGGTTTGCTTTTTTTGGCCGTTTTCCTTAGTTTTTAAATAACATGCTGCAGGTGGTTCATGAGGAATTTGGTATCACTGAGGGTTTAATGACAACTGTCCATGCGACTACAGGTATCCAGTTATTGTTGGCTCCTCCTTCATTTGCATAGCACATGATGTTGCATTGTTATGATAATATGATAGTTTTTAATATCCAGCAACACAAAAGACTGTTGATGGCCCTTCAATGAAGGATTGGCGAGGGGGTCGAGGAGCTGGGCAAAACATCATCCCTAGTTCAACTGGTGTAGCAAAGGTAAGAAATGGAAATAGCCAGATTAAAAATCCAGCATGGCTTTGAGATCCACAGCTTTAATTATAATTGAAATTAAATAATGATGTGTTTTTCTTGTAGGCTGTTGGAAAAGTTCTTCCTGAACTCAATGGAAAGCTTACTGGAATGGCATTCCGTGTCCCTACACCCAATGTTTCTGTTGTGGATTTATGACTTCAGAAGAGTGCTTCCTATGAAGATGTCAAAGCAGTAATAAAGTGAGTTTTCTATTTTTTTTTTTTTTTGGCTTGAGGCTCCTTGTTGCTTCCTTTCTGTTCATTCATTCATTCATGTTTATTTGCTTTTGCATTTTTACTTTGTTCTTTTGTTGTATTTCATATTCACTGAACTTCTCATTAATTTGTAATTAAAGTTATGCTGCAGAAGGGCCTCTTAAAGGCATTCTTGGATACACAGAAGAGGATGTTGTCTGTAATGATTTTGTTGGTGATTCGGGGTTCTCTCTCTCTCTCTCTCTCTCTAATGTATGCATCCATCCCAAATGCCTTTTGTTGTGATGTCATATACTGTGTGCTATACTGTCTAATTCGTATGAGGTGTGCAGGCTTGCAAGCATTTTGATTTTTGAGTATAATTTAGGCATGAAATGTCTTGGTGTATTTGTGGACTGTGCTTGCTTAGAGAGTGTCAATTTTTCTGGGACAGGTTATTTAGTTTTTTTTTTTTTACTTGACAACTGAGAAATAATACTTGCCAGTATACCCAATGTTCAGTTGGTAGTATTGCTGTATTTTTTACGGCTTCCAAGTTTGCTTCATTTAGATTTGGCTTTTTCCTATATCTTAATCGATGGCATTTAAGGTTCTAATGGGCTTGTTTTATTCCAGGTCGAGCATATTTGATGCAAAAGCTGGAATAGGGTTGAGTGCTTCTTTCAAGAAGCTTGTTGCATGGTACGACAATGAGTGGGGTTACAGGTATGTTTTCGTCTCTCTTTCCCTCTCTGAGACACTCCCACATTCACACACGCACAGGCACACGCCCAAACCTTTCAGTACTTGTGTGCACACACATAAATACCCCGCTATACGGGCAGACACAGAAAAACACCACAGTAATGCAGATTTTTTGTATTTTCTAACACAAAATTCAAATCTTGTCTGATGTTTTTCTTATAGCAACCGAGCGTGTGACCTAATAGAGCACATTGCACTGGTAGGAGCAACCCGAGACTAAATATTTACAGAGGTATGCTGTTGCTGCTGAGTGACGCTGCAATTTTAGCGTGTGCTAGAAGTTTGTTTCGGAGAGTAGGCATCAATTTGATAGTACCCAAAGTTTTTGGTTGGATTGGTTATCGATGTAAGAGTTGGGCATCCCATAATGCGATTCTGAAATAATAAAAATTCAAGCTTGTATGAGCAGCACCTTAAGACTTGATATTTGTGACAAAAGTGAGAGCATTATCTTTATCCAAAAAGAAAAAAAAAAACCTTGTTGGGCAGTATCTTATATCTGAAACATCTATGCATGATATGGTTTGATGTTCTTTCATTTTTATGGTGATATCTTGGATGATAACATGATACTTGCAAAATAATATGCTTGATGAAGGGAAGTAGTAACTGAAATTACATATACTACTAGTATTTAGAAGTTGGGATCTCTGGTATATGATTCCGTAATATAATTCGAATTCCACATGAATTTGTTAGAAAAAGTCAAAATTAAATATGATATTAATCTATCCTACTTGGATATTCATTCATTACACTAATTATTGGCCAATTTCTTTAATAATAATATTAAGACTAATAAGAATTATTGGCCATTTTTAAGTAACATTAATAACAGTTAAACCTAAACTTAAAATTTGATGGCAAAAAAAAAAAAAAAAACTTAAAAATTACTTGAAGTTTAGCATGAGCAGCGGAACGCGTGAAAGGTGAAACGAAATTGCCACTCACTAGTCTACATTGAGTTGACTCACAATCCCGTTCTCCCAAGTCTAATTCTGCTCTGCCCAAGGACAGAACTCTATCCTCTTTAATGGGCCAAAATATGTGATGAAAACATGAGTTCTGCTAAAATTAATCTGACGATTGTTTCTTGTTGAAAGCAGTCTAACCATCTGAAATCAGCTTCGATTTCTTATTTCAGAACCAAAGATGCAGACAACTCACTCTCAAAATAAAAGTAAGCTGGAAACAAGAAAGGAAAACCGAAATGTATTTCTTCTATTCTCGGCTTAGTTTCCTGAAATAAACCAGCCGAGGATAGCGACTACAATCTGTATTATAGAACAATATAGCATGATGCTGTTGTAGTTAACAAAATTGCGCCTAATTGATGCCCAACAGCTATTGTAATAGGAGTGAATTTCCCGCAGCTGCTTCCAGAGATAGCATCCTCGAGCACTGTAGCTGAAATTTAGCCCGAGATTATTCAGCATGTTTATAAAGCGCATCTCATCTTGCGAAGGGCCCTTGATAATGTCGACAGAACGGAGAAATTTAACATCTTCGGGTTCCTTCACGAGGTAATGCATGAAGCATACATAAGAAGTGAAATGTTTGTCTTTAACTGGCGAACATTGTTCCAAAGCAACACAGTTCACCAGGATGGTGCTAGTGCAATCATTTATGGGGAAGGGAGGGATTTTAAGAGCTAAGGGTGGGAGTTGAACTTTCCTGAATTCTATCTCCAAGAGACTTTTAGCTGTCTTTTGCCTTACCGTGATTCCTGAATTGCGCAGGTGCTTCACGCTTTGGATTGCATACTTCAAAAGACTCTGATTCCTTTGTTGTGGGTCTTCTTCGGTTGAGGGAAGAAGACTGGAGCGGAATAAGTCCAGTAAATGTTTGGGGTTTTGAATTTGGGAGTTGACCACGTTTGAAGTGCTGTAGAAGACTTGTTTCAAAAATCTCCAGGCAAGGTTAGGCAAAGTGCTGATAGTTGCGCGTTGACCAATGTTGGATAAAGCAAACAATTTCTCAACAATGAAAAAGGGTAACTGGTTCTCCAGTTTCAGTAGATCTGCAATCAGAGTTGGGACAGACCATGGCCAATCATCCCTACCCTCCTCATATTGACGGAAGAGCTCTACCATAAAGCAACCATCGAGCAACATCATGTTAACAAGGTCGTCATCATCAGAAGGCATAACTTGTTGAGGGTAGCATCTTTTTGTTGTTTCTTTTAGCTCCCGCAATTCCTCAGAAGAGAAAAACTGATCTCTCTCCGGTATTCCTGTCCGATGAAGAAATTGGGCAAGAAAAGTTCTCTTGTGCTCTTCGAAGGGACGTAGATGTTGTTTGTCTCTGTGATAAGGGCCGAATGATGCTAACTTTGGCAATCGGCATTGGATCGAATCATCTATTTCAACAAGGACATCAGGAAAAGCAGACATGGTGTAAGTTCCACGATCGGGCGTCTGCTGCCTGTGCCGGTTCATTTGCTCCTCAAGATTAACCACAACAACGGCCAGAACTTCGTCTTGCGGATCCATCCTAGGCTCTTCCTCTTGCATGTTAATAATAAAAAATAAATTCTTCCTTTTCTTTCAGTCTCTCCGTCTGTTCTGTTATGTTGATGAATTCCACCTCAAACAAATTTTCTAGGAAGGAGGGTGCTGGAAAAGAAATTAGTCTCCTAGCAAAGTCTAAGTCTTTATCTATCTTTTCTTGACCTAGAAATTAACGACTACTGTCTTTCAACTTACAAACAAACAACCAAAAGACATGATTATTGGGTAAAGAAATTTCCAAGCAACTTCATATGGCCGATTTCATTTCTATTAATTTAATTCTCATCCAGCAGCATTAAGTAAAGTCATCAAAATCACCACTTTAACGTGCGCGGTTCCTGTCCTCTTCACCAGGAAACAAGGTAGGTCAGATTCCTTTAAAGAAAATATTGTTTGGTGTCAGATTAGAGTGCTCTACTTTTTAGGTGATTATTGGGGTGACTTTTCTAAAGTGTTCTATTACGGCTGCTCGCATGCGGTTCAATTTGTCTTTTAAATGAGTATTTAATTTAAAATAATTAATAATAGGTGAAAATATTTTGTTATATTTATTATGTGTTTTCAACGTTACTCTCTCCTCACGTATAAGAATAACAATATGATTAAATCTATTATGAAAGGACCACATTTGCTCTGATATTTTAGTAAATTTTAAGCTAAATATCTAGTTTAAAATAAATCAACATTATATGAAAAGACTGTCATATTTATTTGCTTTAGATAGGATGAATATAAGTCGACTTCAACTTAGTTTGACTGATTTTAATCGATTGAATTTGGTGAAGTTAATTTGGTTTTGATAATTGTTGGTTAAATAAATTATTGATTTAATTGGGTTAATTTTTTATTTTTAAAATTAATAACCTAACTAATCTAATTAATCTTTTTTAATAGATTTTTTAATATATAATATGAATATATATTATATATATTTCAACAAGGACATCAGGAAAAGCAGAAATTTCGCCCGAGATTATTCAGCATGTTTATAAAGCGCATCTCATCTTGCCAAGGGTGGTTCGTGATAATGTCGACAGAACGGAGAAATGTAACATCTTCGGGTTCCTTCACGAGGTAATTCATGAAGCATACATAAGAAGTGAAATGTTTGTCTCTATCTTGCGAACGTTGTTCCAAAGCAACACAGTTCACCAGGATGGATCTAGTCCAATCATTCATTTCGAAGGGAGGGATTTTAAGAGCTAAGAGTGGGAGTTGAACTTTCCTGAATTCTATCTCCAAGAGACTTTTAGCTGTCTTTTTTCTTACCGTGATTCCTGAATTACGCAGGTGCTTCACGCTTTGGATTGAATACTCCCAATGACTGTGATTCCCTTGTCGTGCTTCTTCTTGGGTTGAGGGAAGAAGACTGGAGCGGAATAAGTCCAGTAAATGTTTAGGGGGGTTTACAATTTGGGAGTTGTCCACATCTGAAGGGCTGCAGAAGACTTGGTTCAAAAATCTCAAGGCAAGGGTGGTCAGAGTTGCGCCTTGACCAAAGTTGGATAACTCAAACAATCTCTCAAGAATGAAAAAGGGTAACTGGTTCTCCAGTTTCAGTAGATCTGCAATCAGAGATGGGACACACCATGGGACAGACCATGGCGGTTCAACATTCCTAGCCTCCTCATATTGAAGGAAGAGCTCTACCATAAAGCAACCATCGAGCAACATCATGTTAACAAGGTCATCACCAGAAGGCAAACGAATATTTTGACGGTAGCATCTTTTTGTTTCTCGTTTTAGCGCCCGCAAGTCCTCAGGAGAGAATAACTGATTTCTCTCCGGTATTCCTATCCGACGAAGAAATTGGTCACAAAAAGTTGTCTTCTTCTCTTCGAAGCGATGTAGATGTGGAATGTCTCTGTGATAAAGGCCGAATGATGCTAACCTTGGAAATCGGCATTGGATCGAATCATCTATTTCAACAAGGACATCAGGAAAAGTGGGCATGATGGTTCCAGAATCGGCCATCTGCTGCCTGTGCCGGTTCATTCGCTGCTCAATATTAACCACAAAGTCTCGCCGATCCATCCTAGGCTCTTCCTCTTGAATGTTAATAATAAAAAATAAATTCTTCTTTTCTCTCAGTCTCTCCGTCTGTTCTGTTATGTTGATGAATTCCACCTCGAACAAATTTTCTAGGAAGGACGATGCTGGAAATGAAATTACTCTCAAAGCAAAGTCCAAGTCTTTATCTATCTTTTCTTGACCTAGAAATTAACAACTACAGTCTGTCAAGTTACAGACAAACAGCCAAAAGACATGATTATTGGGTAAAGAAAATTCCAAGGAACTTCATATGGCCGATTGTCATTTCTATGAATTTAATTCTCATCCTGCAGCATTAAGTAAAGTCATCAAAATCACTATGGTCCCCTTCACTAGGAAACAAGGTAGGTCAGACACCTTTAAAGAAAATTATTGTTTGGTGTCAGATTATAGTGCTTACTTTTTAGGTGCATTTTGGGGTGACTTTTCTAAGTTGTTCTATTACGCTGCTCGCATGCGGTTCAATTTGTCTTTTAAATGTGTATTTAATTTAAAATAATTAATAATAGGTAAAAATATTTTGTTATATTTATTATGTGTTTTCAACGTTACTCTCTTCTCACGTATAAGAATAACAATATGATTAAATCTATTATGAAAGGACCACATTTGCTCTGATATTTTAGTAAATTTTAAGCTAAATATCTAGTTTAAAACAAATCAACATTATATGAAAAGATTGTCATATTTATTTGCTTTAGATAAGATGAATATAAGTCGACTTCAACTTAGTTTGACTGATTTTAATCGATTGAATTTAGTGAAGTTAATTTGGTTTTGATAATTGTTGGTTAAATAAATTATTGATTTAATTGGGTTGATTTTTTATTTTTAAAATTAATAACCTAATTAATCTAATTAATCTTTTTTAATAGATTTTTTAATATATAATATGAATATATATATATATATATATATTTCAACAAGGACATCAGGAAAAGCAGACATGGTGTAGGTTCCAGGATCGGCCGTCTGCTGCCTGTGCCGGTTCATTTGCTCCTCAAGATTAACCACAACAACGGCCAGAACTTCGTCTTGCGGATCCATCCTAGGCTCTTGCATGTTAATAATAAAAAATAAATTCTTCCTTTTCTCTCAGTCTCTCCGTCTGTTTTGTTATGTTGATGAATTCCACCTCAAACAAATTTTCTAGGAAGGAGGATGCTGGAAATGAGATTAGTCTCCTAGCAAAGTCTAAGTCTTTATCTATCCTTTCTTAGAAATTAACGACTACAGTCTTTCAACTTACAAACAAACAACCAAAAGACATGATTGTTGGGTAAAGAAATTTCCAAGCAACTTCATACGGCCGATTTCATTTCTATTAATTTAATTCTCATCCAGCAGCTTTAAGTCATCAAAATCACTACTTTAACATGCGCGGTTCCTGTCCTCTTCACCAGGAAACACGGTAGGTCAGATACCTTTAAAGAAAATATTGTTTGGTGTCAGATTAGAGTGCTCTACTTTTTAGGTGATTATTGGGGTGACTTTTCTAAAGTGTTCTATTACGGCTGCTCGCATGCGGTTCAATTTGTCTTTTAAATGAGTATTTAATTTAAAATAATTAATAATAGGTGAAAATATTTTGTTATATTTATTATGTGTTTTCAACGTTACTCTCTCCTCACGTATAAGAATAACAATATGAAGAAATCTAATATGAAAGGACAACTAATTAGAATGGCTTAATTAGTGTTTACATACACATAATAATAATTTATTACTTATTAAACTTTACAATTAAAGATTATCAATTCAAAGTTAGGTTCTCATTATTAATGTCTAAAAGAAATTTTAAACTCATTTCACTTATGATGCTTCTTACCAAATTTTTAGGTCGTACTTTGGTAAGAGGATCTGTTAAGTTATTAACAGATTTAACATATATAATGGTAATTACCTTATTTTTTTTATCAATTTTTTGATATAATCATGTTTTTGACTAATATGTCTAGATTTTCTATTATAAATTTTACTATAAGCTCTAGATATAGTAGATTCACTATCACAATACAAGAAAATGGTTGTTGTTAGTTATGGCCATAACTCTACATCCATTAATAAATTTCTTAGCCATTCAACTTTCTTGCTTGCTACCACTAAAGCTATAAATTTAGATTCCATAGTTAAATGTGAAGTGCAAATTTGTTTCTTGGATGCCCAACTAATTACACTACTTCCAAGGGTAAACATCCATCCTGAAGTGGATTTATTATCACTTATACTAGTGATCCAACTTGCATTTGAATATCTTTTCAAAATAGCTAGATCTTTGAAATAAAATAAATCAAAATCTTTAGTTCTTTTAAGATAACCTAGAACTCTTCCTATGACTTTCCAAAGACTTATACTAGGTTTATTTGTGTATCTTGATAACTTGCAAATAGCAAAAGCTATATCTGACCTAATACAATATATAGCATACATAATACTTTCAATAGCACTAGTATATTCAAGTTGTGCAATTATATAACCTTGATTTTCTGTTAATTTTATACTTACATAATATAGGGTATTAGCTTCTTTTATATTAAGATACTTAAACTTATTAAACAGTTTCTCAATATAATGACTTTGATTAAGTACGAAACCCTTATTATATCTCTTAACTTTAATTTCTAAAATGGTATCAACTTCATTTAAATCTTTCATTTTGAAATTAAAAATCAAATACCTTTTAGTTTCATTTATGCCAATCATATTAGTACTAAATATTAGCATATCATCTATATAGAGACATATTACAACTTTATATTCTTTAGTAAATTTTGAGTAAATGCACTTATCTGCTCTATTATGTTTAAAACCATTGACTATTATGATTGAATTAAACTTTTTATGCCATTGTTTAGGAGCTTGCTTTAGCCCATAAAGTGACTTAATTAGTTTACAAACTTTATTCTCATTACCTGGATGAATAAAACCTTTTGGTTGTTCTAAGTATACTTCTTCCTTTAAGTCACCATTTAAAAAGGTTGTCTTAACATCCATTTGATGCACATGTAATTTATAAATAGAAGCCAAAGCTATAAGAACTCTAATGGATGTTATTCTAGCTACTAGAGCATATATATCAAAATAATCTATGCCTTCCTTTTGTTTAAAACTTTTTGCAACTAATCTTGCTTTAAAAGTTTGTACAGAACCATCTGTATTATGTTTTTTTTCTAAACACCCATTTACATTCTATAGATTTAGAACCTGGAGGTAAATCTACCAAGACCCATGTATTATTGGACATGATTGAGTCCATTTCATCATTAATAGCTTCTTTCCAAAATGTAACATCTCTTGAAGTCATAACTTCATTAAATGTTTTAGGGTCTTCATCTATATTTAGTAGAATTGGTGTTTTTTTAAGTACTTTGTTCTATTTCTTTCAACTAGGAATACTATAGAATTTGGAGAAACAAAATCAGAAGGCAAAAGATTTTCTTTTCTAGTTCTTTTGCTCTTTCTAATTTCAACAGAATCATTACTTTTTTTTTTTATTTCTAGTTGTAGGAATCATTTCAATTTGTTTCTCATTATCAATTTTAGTATTTCATATAAACTTATTTTCAAAAAATTATATGTGAATGGATTCAATAATAACATTAGTATTTAAATCAAGAAGTCTATATGCTTTTGAATTCTGTGCATAACCAACAAAAATACATTTAATACTTCTAGGTTTTAATTTTGATTTATCAGGATAAGGTATTTTATAAAAGGCAATGCACCCCCACACTTTAAAATAATCCAAATTTGATTTTTTACCATAATTTTAAAGTTCATACGATGTCTTTAAGAATTTATTTGAAAGAATTCTATTATGTATGTGGCATGCTGTTAAAAGTATTTTTCCCTAAAGATTTAGAGGTAATTTAGCATTTAACAACATATTATTTACCATATCAACCAAGGTTTTATTTTTCCTTTTGGCTAAACCATTTTGTTGGGGGTGCATAAGGGGTTGTCTTTGGATGAATAATTCCATTATCTTCACAAAAAAGAGAAAATGAATTTGGAAAATATTTGTCACCCCTATCAATTCAAAGAATTTTGATTTTCTTCTTCTTTTAATTTTTAACAACTGATTTATATTCTTTGAATTTATCAAAAGCTTTATCTTTTATTCTTATTAGATACACAAAAGTATAATGAGAACTATCATCTATAAATGTTATAAAATACTTTTTTCTTCTTTTGTTAATAAATCATTTAACTCACAAATATCAAAATGTACAAGTTCTAATAATTTTGTATTTCTTTCAGCTTTAGGAAAATGTTTCTTAGTCATTTTTGCTTTGACACAGATCTCACATTTAATGTCATGATTTTTTTATATGTTTTATAACCATGCTTAATCATATGATTCATATATTGATAATTTAAATGTCCTAATCTAGCATACCATAAAGAAGAAGAATGCTAAACAATATAAGCAGAAACATTATTTATTTCATCAATGCTAAGTTTAAACATACCATCATTGGAATATCTTTTTTCAATGAATACACCATTTTTGAATACTATAACTTTATCAGACTTTAGTACAATCTTAAAGCCTTTTTTACATAATAAATTTACAGATACAATGTTCTTTCTAATCTCAGAAACATAAAAAACATTAAGCAAAATTAGTTTTTGTCCTGAGGTGAATTTCAATTCAACCGTTCCTTTTTCAATCACTTAGGTAGGAACATGATTTCCCATAAAGATATTTTCTGGTATCTTGCATTCTTCATAAGTCTTGAACTACTCTTTGTTATTATAAACATGAATTATTGCACCAAAATCTAGCTACCAATCAGATGACCTATTTGTAGTAGCCATATGAACTTCGATAATCATTCCAATTTGCATGTCAGTCACCATTGCAACAAGTTCATTGATTTCTTACTCAACCAGATTTACCTTATTTTCAGAACTAGAACCAATCTTAATTTCAGCATTTTTAAATCTATAATCTTTAATCAAATGTCCTTTCTTTCCACAATGGAAACACATTTTGTTCTTATTAAATTTGAATTTCTCAAATCCATTCTTTTTTACTTTAACATTGTTTTGAAATTTACCAGAAGACTTGTGAGTTTTTTTAGAATTTTATCCACTCACATGATTCACATTAGAACCTCCAAGAAAGAGTGCATCTCTTGCATAATTTTTTGCTTCAATCTGTATGTGAGTCTGAAATTTTTCAATAATGAAACTATCTGTTGAATGTAAAACTTTCTTCTTATATCCATCCAAGAAAAATAAGTTTTGACAAAATAGCTCAAACTTGAAGTGAATCAGAAACTTTAATTTCTAGCTCACTTAACTTAGAAACCAAAATTTATAACTCATGCACTTAGTCCACGATTGGTTTATCATCAGTTATTGAAAATTCAAAGTATTTCAAAGCCAAAAACTTATCCGTACCTTTTTTTTCGTTCATGTATTTGTATTCAAGAGCAGTCCATATCTCTTTTAGTGTTTTCATATTTCTGTATAGATCATATATACGGTCAGATAATGAATTCAAA